GTTGTATGATCCCGCTGCAGCACGCACCAACAATTACACGTGCTTGGAGTGCAGGCATACAGGGAGCGTGTTTTAAATGAAAGTGATTTTTCAAATAATATTCGAGTAAGTTTTTTAAATCCCTTTTTTTTAACAATCCCGATACTACGTGCTTTTATATTTATGATTTCGGGATCCCGCAAATGTATAGGGCGAGTGTTTTGACTTAAATTGAAGTCTAGAATATTATTCGATTATTTTTTTTCGAGACCTTTTTATCAATCCCGGGACCTTTTTATCAATCCAATCGGGATTTCAAATTTACGACTTCGCGATCTCGCAAACGTACAGGGTGAGTGTTAAATTTGAAACTATTTTTTAAATGTTATTCGAGCAGTTTTTTGAAACTGCATATCTTTGTCAATGCCGAAATTTCGGGTTTTTAAACTTACAATTTCGAGATCCCGAAATCATACAGCATTATCTTTTGAAATTTTAATCGAGTATTTTTTTGTGCCATATGTTTATCCATTCTGGATTTCGGGATTTTAAGGTCACGATTTCGGGATCCCGATTTTGTTTTTTTAATTTTGCAACACTCTTTTTTGGTGATAAATATTGGAGGCTATGAAGCTTCATTATCGAGATGTTAGCACTTAAATTAATAGTTGAGTGTCAGGTCCATCGTAGGTACGTCTTACCTTCCATATGTTTCGAGACGAGGCAGCACCAAATTTCGCAATTATAGGTAGGCTTATCGACTAGAACAGTAAAATAAAGATGCCCTTAATTGCACTTTTAATATATATCGGAATAGAATCGGAATCATTCGAATCTTACAAAATATTTTCCCGCTATCGAGTATAAAGAACCAATGCTTTAAAATCTCGAAAGATCTATAAGTCTATTCAAGGCTCAAAACTTTTCTAAATGCTTTTAAAATTCCTTAGTTACTAATAAAAGAAAACAAGGTTTCTCATAAGGCAACCACCCTGTAAACATCAACGGAAATAGTTTTCCATTTTCTGCCTCTTCGTTTTTTCTTCCAGCTGAATAATTTATTTCTTTTTTTTTTTTTTTTGGTTCGGTGCTCATTTGATTGCTTCGATGCTCTCATTGCGCGTCTGCGAATTCATGCAACAATATCAACAAAAAGTTGCAAGTGACTATGTGAATGTATGTACCTATGTTCATACATAAGTAGCACACCCACATGTTGCACGTTTCAGTTTTTGATTTCTTCACTCGCCTTAATGCCGCCTCTGCAGCTTTTGGCCGCGTTTTGCTTCGTATTCCACACTTTCCTTTGTCATTTTGCTGTTATCTTTATATATGCAGCTTGCGACATCCTTCCTGGTCGGTCTTATGCAATGCTCAAACATGTCGGTAAACTTACAACATGTGTATATATGTAAATGGATTTGTAGGACACATGAATATGGAAGCAAATGCAAATTGTCAAACATATACCATACATCTTAACATAAGGGTGACTGGGAACTATGAATGTAAATTATCGACTGTAATTTTATGGTTTTAATAAAATCGATATTGTACTGGCAGCCGGTTAGCGTAAATATGTAATGGATACAGTAACAGTTTGAAGTCATGGGTTTGGGAGGCTCATATGCATCCACCTTATAGTCCGGACCTGGCAATAAGGGTCCATAGTCCCTAGCGAATAAAATTCTACTAGTAAAAAATTCAATGGAAGCTTGTAAAAATCGATTTTCTAATTTTTTTGTTTGCCTTTAGGGACGAATGTTTCTATGAGCGTGGCATTTTGAAGTTACTTTCGACATGGCAGCAAGAACAAAGCGGCGCTTATTTGATGTAAATCGGAATACTCTTACTATACTGAATATACCTTTAAATTTAATACAACAATAATGTAGTTCTTTATACTAAACCTATTATGTCTAGTTCTTTTATAGGACTCCGTGAAATTTGAACTATCCTTTGACCTCGACGATAATTATAATGTTTTTGTGTTAAATTTTTGATAATTACTTCCGCGAATTCTCATACAAACACCAACACACCCTAAAGTATATATCTAGGAATTTCTTACCCACAAACTAACAGTATTTTGCTGTTATATCCTTGCACACCTACTATATTATGATAACTACCTTGATATCTTATTAAGTCTATTTTTATGTATATGCATATGTATAGCACCAAGTTAATTAAATAAGTAAATAAAAAATTTTACAACTATTAAGTGCAGTAATATTTAAATGGTCTGGCATCATCAACGCGTTTGAACTTATTAGGTAATTACTCCCAGAAGGACGAAAAGCATAAAAATACACTTAATTTATTTACATCTGAAATTAAGAGTAAGGAATTTAAGAGTATCAAAAAAATTAAAAATGAATGCTCTGCCATTGGCCTCAAGTGTATTTTTAAGATAAAAATGCATCTCAGAAAAAATAAGATCTTATAATTTTATAATTATTACGAATTATAAAATTTTTAACTTAAACTTATTTTGCAAGATATTATTGAATACAAAACATTGCACTGATCATAATGGGAAATTGATATATAGTCATATAGTGTAAAATCCCCTAAAAGTATGCATATAGTAATATTTTTATCTATTACAAACAATTATTAAAGTAACTCTTTGTTTTGGTTACTTAATAACCGTCCCTTTGAGAAACTAGTATTGGAAAAATGGGCAAAATGGATTGGTAAAAGATATTTAAATGTAAGTGGAAGTAGGCTATGGAATCCAATATATTCTACAATTTTTATTTCTGTATAATGTGTAAAAATGAAGTTATGGTTAAAAGCGTGAACAAAGCTGTTAGCCTTTATAAATTTCCACACAACAAAAAAACATATTCATTTTAGATTTATTAAACGACTGCTATAAAATATACGGACCACATGAATACCCGATGATAGACGATAATTTTTCAGGACAATATGTGGTTTGCATTATGTCAAAATCAATGACATTAAACTGACAATTTAATGACACAGAAGCATGCGTCAGCATGATGAAAAATGTTCACAAATTTGAGTAATCAACTTCGACTCCACAATTACAGCACTGCTGGCGTTTAGTGGCGACTCTCCTTCCGTCTCCAGAAAGCTGCAACCGCAATTGGCATCTAGAAACGTGACTCACCACATAGACTACTGGCATCAATAGCGAAAAGTCTAAACAAGTGGTTCTACCCAAACAAGAAATATGTCAAAAAGTGGTCTTATATGGTCAGTTGCTACCTACAAGCCCAAACGCAAAATAATTGGCAAGAGGCAAATATGCAGAGACAACATGAAAATCAAGAGAACCCAGTTCTGATTAAGGTTTGTACAGTTGTATTGGCTCCTTAGGTCAAGCTCCTGTCTCATACTAAGGAATAAGCTGCACATATATAAGGCAATACTTAAACCGATCTGATCGTATGGAGACAAAATCTGGGGCAACTCAACTGAACCAAATTTTAAAGTGATTCAAGCCTTTCAAAATAAAGTTTTTTGAAATATAGCGGGTGCACCATTTTATGTGAGAAGCGACATGCTCCATTCAGACCTAAGCGTGCCCACTGGGAAGGAAACTATAAAATAATTAAGTGGGCGTTACCTCGGTTGGAGACCCATGATAACAATCTTGCGATCCAACTGCTGGACAATAGTCAACAAGGTGGAAGACTAAAAAGATACCACCCATTAGACCGTTTCTTTCGATTTAATTAATCTCACCATAATTTATGTAAAACTACTGCCTTTTAATTTGATTAAGAAATTAAAGAAATCTAAATTGAATATTAAAAAAAAAATCTTAACAGAATCGAGTTAATGTAAAGGATCGGCGAAATGCCATAAAAAAGTAAATTTGTACAAAAATAAAAAATGTCAAAAAATAATCGAAAAATTTTAACAAAAATTGTATGATTTTATGAAAAAATTTCTCGTTTCATATTTAAAATTAGACTAGGTAGTAGGTTTGATAGTTTTTGAACCCAAGATAAAATGAAGTCGGGAAGAGGAGCAGTTTAGCTGAAGTTTTAAGGGTTAAAAATGGTCTATCTCGATTTTCGACAAACTTCTAGTCCACTTTTAAAGGCTTCTACACTAGCTTAAATCTTCCAACTGGGCAAATTTGTTCTATTTTCCGCTTGAATTTTTGAGGACAAAATTTTCATAATTTTTTTTCTCCAACATTTTTCACAACACATCTATTATCAAATTGCTGACGTGTAGCAGCACGCTATAGTGGGTGTACAAAATATAGATAATGTGTTCAGCACTTAACATTGTTTGAATTTCCTTCAATTAAAGTGAGGTTATGTACGATAATATACCACAATGACACGAAGATATATTAGATATGTCAGAAATTTCGTCAAATAATATTATCATTTACAAAGCTAAGACAAAATGGTACAAACTGAAACTTTAATTTACGACATGAAAGGATTTATAAATAAATGTTTTTGGTTTTGTTGTTACAATTGAAATAGTCGACTGTAAATAAGAGCTTGTGACATTTTAATGGATTTCTTATTTGATATTTCTTTGTTTTTTGTGTTGTTTTTTTAACACTCGTTACTCGTTGATATGTCTGTGCATTGGCACGATTTTCCAATAGGTTATTTTCCGCCAACAACGACGCCGTCATGCACTTTTGTCACCTTGTGACAGTTGTTTGACTCCATTTGACTCTTTGGAGCGCGCCAGTCAAACAAACAGGCAAGCGACCAAGCGAACGAACGGCGGAAAAGTGAACGGACAGATGGACCAAGTGACAACGGGTCATGTTGGCAGAACCGGGTGGCAGACAGCGGGCGAGCGTGGCGCGGCACGGTTATTTGAGTATCGAAGATATATAAATGAAAAATGTGATCGCTCGCGGCGCCTGCGCAAGACACTGCACAAGGTAGTGAGGGGCAGCGGAGCAATACACATATAAACTTAATATTATGGCAGACAAAATGGACAAATATACAATTGAAAATGTATTATTTTAAAATTGTTTTTTTTTTCGATTTGGTTTTACTTACAGTCTCGACTCATGCCCGCCGAGAGGCATTTCTTGAAGCGACAATATTGGCAACGATTTCGATTCAAACGTATCACCAGACATTTACCATCACGCAGGCAACGATATTCAATTTGTTTTTGTATGCTGCGACGAAAGAAACCCTGCAAAATGAATAGTAAATGGAAATTAATTTAAAATAAAAAATAGAAAAATCCATTAGGTTTTGTTTTTGGTGTTTTCCGTTTTCAATTGTTTGTGTGGGTGTTTGTGTGTGTATCTCACCTTACAACCCTCGCACGAGGTTACACCATAATGGTAGCCGGACGCTTTGTCGCCACAAACTTTGCACGGCACAAATGATTTCGTAACGCTGTTGGAATTGGAGTCCGCTATGGCAAATTGCTGATCTGTAATTGGAGTGCACACGAGTGTTTAATGTTGCAATTGTAGATTAAAAAAACAAATCGAAAATCACTGTTTTTACTTATGATCTTTAAAATTATAACATTTTTGCTTATAGTAATATATACATGCATATATAATAAGTAGGGTGGCTCAAAAAAAAATAATGTTTTTTTTCGCTTCGTACTGTGAAAATTTGGTTGATGGACACGTCTAAGAAAGACTCTCCAAGTATGAGCTCTTAATTGTAATGGGAAGGTCCTTCGCCAAACGGTTTGCTATTTTTTTTCTTATTTTTAGCTAGAAACATTCATATCTCGCTTCCAGAGTCAGTAATATTCAGTCAGTAAAAAGCATAAGAAGAAGATCCAACATATATTTGAGAAAGGTTAAATTTAAACATATCTTGAAAAAGATATACCATTTCTCGAAAATAGTAATATAAATAGAGAAAAACCTGAAAAGTTTCATTTATTCTACTTCATTCATATATGAATTAAGGATATACAAAATATGGTTTACATTTTGTACTTTCAAAATCTTCTAAAATATCGGAATTAATATCCCTAATGTATGTAGTATATAATTTACTTTAGGCAGAACCACAAAGATCTACTAACATAATATTACAATAATACGCAAATTGTATACGATAATGATGCCTAAAATATCCAGAAATCGTTCCACTTGGCGATAGCTTCAAATGATTCAAAATTTGTCTGGAAGCATTTCCAAAACAAAACCAAATAGAACCATTCTATCTTACAGTAGTCCTGACAACACCTCAATAAGCTGCCATCATAGTCCTGAAAACAAGCTTGAAAAGATCGCGAAATGGTTCTAGAACAGTTCCGAAATTATTCCAACATAATCGAGAAAAAATCCCGAATGGTCCAAAAATTATCCCGAATCGGTTTGTTCTTCTATTTACTATTCAAAGTTTTATATTTCTAACTTGCGAAGTCTAACTCGAATGCTTTAAAGATATTTCAGAAATTTTTCAGTTTTGAATTACTAAAAAAATTAAAAAACTTTAGGACGATATTGATATTGAAAGGAGCATGGCAAGGAAGGTCAAAACGCGGTGAAATGGTAGAGCGGGATGCAAAACTGTAAAAGTCATATGCCAAGCGGTAGAACAGAAATAAACAAAGTTCCTGCTCACTCTTGACAGAAGGAACTGTACGGACGTTTCAAGAATTAGGTGACCCTACGGTATGAGACACTGGAAGAGGTATCGATAGAGAGTCCTCAGAACATACTGAAACTCGTGTCAAGCATGGATGCACGTAACGGCACTCCATCTGGCTTTGCTAAGGATCGAAACTGGTATATGCGTGTCTCATTAACCTACCAGATTAACCTAACCGCACCTTAAAGAACTGAAAACAAGGAAGGATGAAAGAAAAAATGAGAAGGAAAGGTTGTTTACAACTCTAACCCCAGTCCTTTGTGCTTTCGAAACAATACGAGGGAGATTTCGAACTATTTTGTAAGTAAAACATTGTTACATACAATCCATTAGAGATCAGCTAAACGTGAGCATATCGGCATTATTCGCTACTAAAAATTGGAAATTTTAACTTTTCTGGGGTTTGGAACTGTAATTCGAGCATGTTCTCTTAATTTATTTCAATTCAATAACTAATTTAGTACAGTTAAAGTTAAATATTATGTAGTCTCACCCTAGCCTCGTTAGTCTGCTAATAACCTCAACTTTCATTAATTACAATACCGAAACCCAAGATAAGTCAGATGAACTAAAATTATTATCTCGTGATAATATTATAAATATTATATATCATTGAAATCAGTTCTATTAAAAATACGTAAAAAAAAGCTCAAATTGTTGATTTATTACAATTTTACATCTATACCATAGTTGAGTATTAATGCCGTTATATGTATACCTGAAAGGTAATTTCATAGTTTCAATCAACTAATTCATCGCTGCACATTCCAAGTATTTTTGCCGTTTTCAATACACTGATGAGATTTGTGTGTAAAACCTAATTAATCTTCTTGTAAATATGTATATACCTACATATATGTACTTACATAGATACAGATGTTTCCGTGGACACACGGAAGTAGCTGTAGCAAATGTTACTCATACGCACTGTCGGATGCAGGGGAAAGTTGCGAAGCACTTATTCGCCTATGTATTACTGCATATCCGTTAGCAATGTGCTAACACATGAACGTGATTTATTTTCTACCATTAATTTTCACTTTCTATTTTCCTTCCGCAATAGTTTCATCTTTCGTCTTATGCGTTTGCTTTACATCCGCAGCGCGTGCGCTCTCGCTTGTAATTGATATTGATGAGCAATAATTCACGTAGATGTTGCTTTCTTTCAATTGCTTTTCTTGCTGTTAATTTTACATTGTTTTTATTGTTGTATGCGAATTGCGCAGTGGATGGTAATTGTCGTCATGACAGCTGACTAATGACAGCTCAAAGATACGAAACGTGACTTTTATTTTACTCATATGTGTACTAAGTTTATGTATTTAAGTGGGTATTTTGCCATTTTATAGAGGCAGTTTTGAAATAAATCTTCTTTAGCCTCCGTAGACTTTATGAAACCAACACCAATATCCAGCACTGAAGACAAAATTGATATCTCGTGTGTTCTTTTAGATATTTTGATTTCTTTATTATCTTTTGGCGACCTTCCTGTTTCCATTCCAAGCAGATAGAGATATAATCTCATATTTTGTGTAACCCAATCGATCTAATAAACCTTAAGCACCTTCTAAAATCATTCAAATTATAATCAACTCACATAAACGAAAGATATCTGGATACACTAAGCAAAATATGAAAATAACAGTTAAAATAAAATCCACGGGTATATACTTGTATACTGGTGTATATTTACTGATTTTCTTGCAACGATATTTCTTCACTCTTTATTTCATAAGCCGTCCACAGCCACGTGTACGCGTGCATTCCGCCTTGGCTGCTACTTAATTCGTGCCACAAAGTAGCATATCAGCTTTGCCCATCAAACTTTTCCTTGGGGTACTTCTCAGCATTATTGCTGTTGCAGCTGTAGTAAATCCCACTTAAGTGGCAAATTTACTGTTTAAGGTAAACCACGGACCACGGAAAAAAGAAAATTCGTATCAGGCGCAGATTCTTTCGCAAATGCAAGTATATACAATACCCTTTAGGGAAAACCAAAAGCACTAGCTCTGTACTGATTTAATTTTGATATATTTTGTGTAAATACTCAGGAACTACTCAATAACTAATTTATCTTCAATTTTCATGAAGCTCACTGGCAAATTTAGAGCGCTCAAATCTAAACTAATAGCAATAATTCAGTTCGGTATTGCTTTCCCCTAGTGTGGAACTAGTATAAATTACACTTCTTCAACAGGCATTCTGAAAACTATGAAGGTATACGAATGGTATCTATAGCAAACCTCTGAAAAAGGCTATATAGTATTTAATTATATGGATTCTTCTTTTGAGATTAACGTTTTGAAACCGCTTACGGAGAATGTTACCGAATATTCATAAATTATTTCAATCCGGTTATGCTGCTCCGTTTGTCCTTGTGAATGCTCTTATTACAATGAAAAGTCGTAAGCAAAGTCCAATCATGCCGATTACATTGCAAACTTCGAAATAAATTGTAATTGCATTTCTACTGATTGACTGATTATTGTAAAAACTTATAAACATCCTCGGGGCTGTCAAAAATATTTCGAGCAAAACTGAATTTTTGCTTGAAATTTGGTCAAGCGAGTTCGTTTTTTGTTTCATTTTAACCATTTTCTGTTGTGTTGAAGAAAAAAAATATTTAAGCCAACTGCCTCTCGAACACTCTTCAGAGCTTTGAGGGAAACATCGTGAGGAAATCTTAAAAGTCCGTACTTGGACAAAAATACTTGATCGCTGATCGATTAAAAATTAGCCCTAAAAGCCGTTTCCCGTCTATTCGCCTGATCGAAATTGCTCTTTTGTCAAAAAATTTTTCTATTATATAGTCTATTTAAATTATACCAGTTCTTTGTTCGATTCACCATTATCCATGGTTTAGTGTATCAATAATTGGTGATATGTCCTACGGGCAGGATTTGCGAATTTCTTAAATAAAAATTAAGTTTTTAATAATAATTTTTAATTAAGTTTTTAATTTTTAATCCAAATGTTGTGATTAAAAATTAAATTTTACGTTTTTAATCCCGATTAAAAAATAAATTTTTAATTTTTTAGTCCAAGATGATTCGGATTAAAAATTGAAGATATTATTTTTTGATTTGAATGAATGTTTTAATTCTAAAACAATTCTGTTTTTTTTTAATTATGTGCTTGATTAAAATTTTTATTTTTTATTTTTCAGTCCGGTATGCGGGACTAATTTTTTTTTTTTGTTTTACTCCCGTATTGGGTATTACAAAAAAGAAAAAAACATTTCGATTCAAATGTTATTTAAATAACTTTTTTAATGCATTATTTGCAACCCTGCCTACAGGGTATGATGAACTCTCCTGTTATATGTATGAAAATATGGATCCATGACCGGTACGCATATATAATATGTTTGTTAATGCTCATACAACTGTAATTCTGTGCAATTTTTCCAACTCGTAATTGAGCCTGGGAAAATTTTTATAGTAGCACAAATGTGTGTAAGTATGTAAGTGAGACAGCTTCGTTAACACGAAATCGATTGAATGACCGTTGAGCTGGGTTACGTAGTAGTGCTTTTGCATAGCTGTTTATTGTTGTTGTACTCGATTGCATTCCCAGCAAAAGTGATCTCTAATGAAATACAATGATTCTTTGCTTGATTATGCATATCTGATCTGAGATTGTAAGACACATAAGTATGCAGCGAGAGAAGGTATATTTTTAAAGGTGATATAATCTGATTTAGTAGTTCGCCAACACGTGCACTTATATGAAGCTCGCGGAAATCAATCAAACCACTCAGTAATCATTTGTTACTTCAACTTCATACTGACTAATTTTTGGATTTCGAAAAGT